GGGTTTGAGTTCGGATAGGGTGTGTAAGTTACATGTTCTTTCTTGAATGTTGAGCAATGACATGACTATAAATGTGATATGTACAGTAAGACATTCAAGTAAAATGTCTGAAAGGAAACGACAGAAAAGAAATAATGATAATGAAAAAAAGTCGATCACCATTACAAAATTTGAACAATTCCCAAATGAATTGCTCTTAATATGTTTTGATTATTTCGATTATTATGGATTATGTCAATCATTTTTTGGTTTAAATCAACGTTTCGATCAATTAATAACCTATGAGTCAAAAATTCATATGGATTTAGAATCAATTCCCGAACAATATTTTTTAACATATTGTATTCAATTCCATCATTTAGTAATGAAATCTGGAAAATTCCCATTATCATTTCAAACTAATGATCAATACAGACTTGATTTAATGTTTGCTGACTATTTCTTTAAAGATAAATTTTCCAAATTGAAATCATTAACCTTACAAAATATAAAAGTTGACAGTGTATACGAATTTATATTTGATAAAGATACAAAATTATATGAAAATTTACAACGAATCAATTTAATGAATATTGAATGTGAGAAAAGCAATTCAGCAAATCGTAAGAAAAAGAGATTTTTTAGCAACTAAATAATGAATAGACTTTCTAGTATTAACGTATAATTTAATATCACCAAAAATGAAATCATTAACATATTTAAACATGAATTTTCAACCATGTTCACCATGTAAATGTGGTTATAACAATGGTATGATGTAGAAAGACCGAAAAAGAAAAGAATCTCGAAAACGCTTATTAAGAAAAATAAAGTTGAAAAGATAAATTTCGAAAGTACAAAATCTCGAAAAAATGAAATTCCGAAAAGCTGATATTACGAAACATAAAATCTTGAATTTTTCGACATAGAACATTTTAATGTGATCATCAAGCATATGTTTTTATACTTAAAATTTTATTTGATAATTCAGGACAACTAAATAACAGAATAGAAAATTAATAAAAATGTTGAACGAGAGAAGATCATTTGCTTGTCCTAATTACAAAAGAAAATCCTGTTAAAAGTTCAGGAAGATTTATTTGATTTTGATGAAACCGTGCTACCGAATTGAATTAATCCGTTCTCGAAGTTCAGTTGTCTTTTTGTCGTTGATTTTCTTCCCACTCATAATCATTTTAAGCATTTATTGACCAACAACAGCTTCGTCTTTTTGAATGCCATCAAATAAACTTCAAATGTTTGGATAATATTTAGCTACGAGACGGTTAAAATGATGATTCCAGCCTATGTAAGAAAATAAAGCTGATGAATTAAAAGAAAAAACTAACCTTCTACTTAATTTTTAATTTTCACATCTGAGACATTCCATAATATCCACTTCATCTTCGTCATCCAACATCCATTAAAATATTCAATTAATAGTTTTATCTAATGTGAAGCTTCACTTGAAATCAATTTGAAAGCAGGTTCAATTGTTTCATATGGAACAGGTGCTAATGCTATAAGCTTTCGTACAGCGGAACATGCAGTTTCATCATTACGATAAACTGTAGTTAGTTGAAGGTGTTGCATTTGCAGATAAATTGCGTGCACGAAATGAAAATTGCATCCGCTATGATGCGAGTTAGGCATCTAAGGATTATAATAAACAAAGGATAAAGATACCCAAGTAAGCAAAAAACTATTGAAGACCCCCACCATGACTAGTCCAAAACGTCCGCAACACCCGTCAAGTCTAGTCTGAAACGTCTTGTGCACCCGTCTTGACTCATTATTTTTTCGAGAAACGTCCAGCAATGACGCCTGGACTAGTCTAGAACGTCCAGAAAACCCAGCATGTCTAGTCCATTTCGTCTTTTAACCCAGTCTGGACTAGGCTGAAGAATAGAAAATTATTTAAAAAAATGCCGAGAGGTGGATTCGAACATCACAGCCGACAATCTTCAATATCTGACGGGCATCTTGATGGAAATCGATGGTGAAGAGACAGATTAGCGTCAGTTCATACCGTCTGAATCATAGAGTGACTTCCGTCTATCTGCCACAAAATCAGAAATCAGTCAAAGCCAAGCGACTTGGACTAGTCTAAAACGTCATTAACCCAAGTAAGGACTAGTCTAAAGCATCCCATGTACGCGTCAAGACTAGTCCGTTTGTTGTGAGAATGTATCGACAATCCAGATCCAAACTAGTACAAACACTCTAAACAGTCAGTTTTATTTAGACTGAATTGTCCTTCTAATTCGTCTCAACTTATTAGTAATGGGAAGTCCACGAAATAGAATATAACGCAAAGATTTTTTCAATATCTGTATCATAGTTCATAATAACTGATGTTAATATTTTCTTTTCTGATTACAGTAGCAATCAGACTAGTCCTTCGGAATGAAAATTGAAGTCAGG